TCACTTTAATCCACAAATGCAAAAGTTGAGGCACTTTAGTTTGATATATATAATCATGGGGTAATTTTCTTATGCTTTAAATTCCTTTAACATAAGTAATGTTCGTACCTTGTATTTAACTCCAATCACATAAATATCAAAATTCAAATCACATATGATAAAACTAATTAAAGCCAGTCTTTAAGCCAAGGGGTTTGTACACTCAAATAGGATGAATATTATGAAAAATACAAACTATTAATGATAAAATAAATATTTGTATTTGGGGCACAAAAATGTTATTGCTAATTAAAGTTAGTCCCAAAAAAGTCAATAGGATTAGTTCAACTGATGAGGATCAAACAAATTGCATGATTATTACAAATCTCAAATGTTTGATTTCTTAATGAAGTAGTTTTCTTTCTCTTAAAACTTTCATTGAAATAGAAGAAAATTATAAAACAAGTAGGGTTTTAAGTACTATCATTAAAAATTTGATAATATAAATTTTTTATTAAAGATAAGATAAAATAGGCTGATTATTATACATAAATGTAAATGGTCCTGTTTCTAAAATTAAACTACATGAAAAATAATACTCAACATTCTTTTAATAATAGAAAAAAGTATTGAATTCATTTTATATTTAAAAATATTAAATATATTTAATTTTTTAATTTAATATTTACTTTATAAAGTATTAGAATGATTAATACAGATAACATTGAATCTCAAAGTATCATTATGGAGTAAGATTTAATTCATAGGGACAAAATAAGTTTAATTAATAATAAGGAGTTTTTTTATTTTAATTAGAAAATAGGTTTGTTTTATTTCACCTAATACTTCCTTTCTTTTTGTTTACTGTTTAAGATTATACCATAGAAACTAAGAGAGTATACCGTAATTTTATTACACCCTTTATCTCTAATAATTTTTTAAAATTTATTATACATTGATTAATTTTTAAGGGTCAAATTAAAAAATTATTTATTCATTATTATTCTAAAACGAAAATCAAAATAAAATAAAAGTAATTACTTAAATGTCGAACAAAAGAGAATAGAGGAAGTAGTTCAAATTATATATTATTAATGATTTATCTTCATTATTGATCATTATCTCTTTTTTTTTATATTGATAATAAGTATTTTATATTATAAACTATAAGTAATTTTTTTATAGGAGACAATCTTACTATATTAATAGTTAGCGTGGTAATTTTTATTTTGTTTAGAGCATTTTAAGGTTTTTTTTATATAAAATATATATGAGATATTATATTGTTAAATTTTTAAAGGAAAATTTTGATTTTGAGCATATTAAGAACCAATATAAATAAAATAAAAATAGGAAAAATCTATTAAATGTACTGTTAGAAGAAAAAAAGACTATGTTACGTAAAGAAAAGGATTATTATCTGAGTTGTTATCGCTGACTTTTATATAATCAATAATATTTATTGACTTTATATAAACAAGTAATTGACTAGCTAAAAAAATTATTAATAATAATTAATAATATAAAAAATTATTAATAATAATTAATGAATTTATATTTAAAAAGTTATTGAATGGTTAAATGACTAATATTTGTTGAAAGATATAAATAATATATTTCTTAACGTATTCTTTTTTTGGACTTTATATTATTGAATGAATTTTATATAAATTACAGTAGCATAGTTTATTTCTTGCTAATTATTATACTTAAATAGAATTGGTTAATATTATCTTATTTTTTTAAAATACATAAATTAATATATAAATACTATTTTTATTTGTATTAAAATTATATTCAATTTTATAATATAGATTTTATTATTTTTTATTTATGATAACTTTGCAATTTTTTTAAAAAATTATATAAAAATAATGATACAATAAAAATGATATATTTAATATTTTTTAAAATTAAAAAAATAAAACTAGATTAAAAAAGAATTAATGATTAATGACCACTAGACAACTATTACGCTAATGGTTTTTTCTTTGCTGATGTTTTAACGGTCAGAAATTTAATATTCATGGTCAATAGCTGTTTTTTATTTTTTAATTTGTGAATAACATTTATTGGATAGTTGATTATCATATATATCAACATTTATCACTATTTTTTTTTAAATAGTCAACAACAGTGATTCGTTAGTCAATAATTTAAAAATCAACTACTGTTACTTATTTTTTTATTGTTTAATAATAATTACCAGCTGACTATTATGTAAATATTGATCATTCATTTTGAAGAGCTCAACAAATTATTATTTTATATAGAAAATTATCAATATTGTGTACATAATTATCTTTCCTATTAAAATTGGAATTGTTATTCTTAATAATTTTTTGCTTTTATTTTCACATTAATATTTCTTCATAATTCTTTGATGTTAGTTAATACTTTTCCTTAATGTTAAGTACGACAACATTTCTTTTTCTCAACGTATATTTAAAGAATTGACTAATACGTAAATTTATGAAAGAAAATCACGAAGTATGAAAAAAGAAATTATAATTTGTAGCTTATTCTATAAAATTCTTTAGATTAAGTGACATTAAGCTTTGTGAGGTTTTAAAATATTATAAATAATCTTTAAAGATGGAGACATTATTTTCTAAATTATAATATAACACCCATGCACACATACACACATCCCTTTTAAAAACAATATAACAAATCTCCTAATTAACATATTTTATAAGAAATTAAGGGAATAAATTTGTATCATGGGAATTGTTTATATATTCTAATTTAGATGCAACACGTTCAAAACTATTTTGCTTACCAGTTATACCTAATTTATATCAAACTTTAACATGTGTAAATTCAAAGCATAATTATAATTAGGTCATTCATGTCAAACAATTAGTCTAATTAAAAAGAAGGAATGTAAAGACAAATTACAGATTCAATTAGCAAATTGTCTGCATGAACTCTTTTCTTTGTTGAAACCTTTCAAAATGTGTCTGGTGACTTGTAACTTGTACTTAAAATTCACAGTTTCACACGCAATGAACAGTTCTTTCTTTATTTTTCTTTGAAATTTTGTGTACTTTTTGTCCCTTTGTTTTCACCTTTTAATGGCCGTCATGCCCATGAACAAGAAAATGTAAAAAAAGTTTTCTTCAACTTGTAGTTTATATTAAATACAAAGTTTGATTGATTTGAAGGCCAAAAAATGACTCAAAAGGCACTTAGCCACGACCATATATATATGATATATAGTATGTGAATGGAAGATGACTAGAAAGTGAAATAATACAGTACACTTTACATTTTTGAGAATCCTTTTTCACACCTTTATTCATAATATTAGTAAATCAATTAAGAGTTTTTTAGCTAAAAAACATTTACATAGACTCTATCATCTCATTTTTTTTCTTTTATAGATTCTAATACAAATTATTATACAAATTTTTAATTCCATAATAACTTTTCAAATAATTCAAATAAGCCAATTTTAAAATTTATTATTTTATTAACGTTAGGGTTTCAGATCATCGTGTATATAATTTAGTTAGTACGTAGGAGTTATTTTATTTTAATTCAAGTTCAAAAACTTTAAGATTAATTTTATGTAATTAAATCAATATGCAATATTTTTTAAAAATTTTCATTATACTAAAAATATTAAAACACAACAAATTCTTTAATTACTTAAAATAACTCCTATAATAATCTTATTTAGGGATATTCAATAATTGATTTAAATGATTTTGATTCGTTAAACTGATTTAGAAAATTAAAAAAAATATGTATTTTTTTACACGACCTGGTTGAATTTTTAGTTTCTATATTTAAAATATAAATATAGTAATTAATTTTTTCATTCTATCATGACATAAATACTAATCTAAAATATATTCATTGGATGTATTTATATATATATATATATATATATATTAAAAATTAAGATTAATTTAATTTGAAATTTATAATTTATACTAAATCATGATTTATGATAAAAATTATGCTTTTAAAAGTTATTTTTTAATGTTTATCATATATTTAACTTTTATTTAAATAACTATTAATTGCGTCTTACATAAAAAATTAGCCACTATAGAGAAATGTATATATTAATTTAAAATTCCATCTATATCTCAATCAATAAATTTATATTTATAAATAAAAATAAATTATGTTCCTTAAAAATAAAAAAAACAAAGTAAAAGTTATTTTTTAAAATTCAAACTGCTAAAGATTAATTCGAATCAATTTAAATTTAATATTATTCTTAACCAATTCATAACTAAGCTATAGATTATGAACACTCTTTCTTAACAATTGTAAAAATTATAGGCCTCTCAATTATTGTTTATTCCTTTAAGAGTTGTTGCCTTAATGTTATAAAAGGTAATATCATTTGTAAATATAATTACTTATAAAAGCTTAAGTTTCAATGCATTATTTATTTATTTTGGTCAAAGTAGATAATAATAATAATAAAATAGCATTTCAAGATTAAAGTTCCTCTAAGAATCTTCGAATAGAAAGATAAAATTCGTGTCAACAAATGCTTACACTAAGGAGGACATGATGTTTGATTGTGTGTATATACCTAAAAATTGAAGACATTATGCAAAGTCTAGTGGCACCACATTCTAAATTTCTAATCCTAATCCTTCCACACTAAATAAAGACAAAATCAAATAATAAGCAGATCATAGCCACTACACTGAAACATTTTACTCCAATATTATGGCTCTGCCACGTGGGCCCTCCAACCACCACCTCCAACCTCTAGAAAATCGACACGTGTCTGAAAACCGTCCAACATGCCACCTGTAAGTCACAGAGGGGACAGTAACATAATACAATTCCAGAAAAAGCGAGAGAAACATAATCTACCTTGTGACACACTGAGCTTACAAAAGTACCCTTATTTATTTCTCAAAATAACAGACAAGCCATTTTGTATGCAAATACCATATCCGTGTGTGTATACAGTATATGTATCAGATACATTACGGATAAGATACACAAAGGCACCAACTAGATTTAAGCCTCAAAGCTCTAAAAAAATTTCATTTCTCTCTCTCTCTCTCTCTCTCTTTGTCGGTGTGTGTACGCAGATCTTGGGCACTCCACGCTCTTCATACCTGCTTCTGCTGTTGGTGTTCTTGTTTGGGTTTGGCTTATTCAGCTGCCAAAAATGGTGGGTGTGTGGTGGATTTTGTGTTGAGGGAAGCTGAAAGGTGGGTTTTTGAGGTTGGATCTTTGGCGGGGTTGTGGAAATGAGGGTGCTTTGAGTGGTAGATTGGAGAAGGGTCACTGTGTGATTGTTGGTGGTGGATGCTTGTGGAGTTTGGTGCTTGTGAAGGTGCATGTGGGATCTCATTTGGGTTCTATGTTTGGGGAAGGTGAGAAGAAGAAGTTGGGATTGTTGTGGGTTTGTGATAATGAGCAGGGGTAGGTGGGGCAAATGTGGGTGAGTTTGAGGTTCAAGTTTTGGTTTTTGGAGGGAGAAATTTGAGACCTGAGTTTTGTTCTGTTTTTTGCTTGATCTAATCCCCATAGGGAGGTTTTGGAAAATTTTTGGGTGTCAGAAGAAAATGCAGCAAGATCATAGGAAAAAGGTGGGTTTTTGTGTGTGTCTGTTCATGCTCTTTGCAATTGTGTAATTGTGATTTGGAAAATTTATTGCTTTTTGTATTTATTTATTTATTTTTTAATTTGAATGGTGTGAGAATGATCAATGATGATGAATTTGACAGTGTGATAAGTGGTGCTTGTGTTGGTGAATGGTGGGTACTCAGAAAATTTTCAATGGGGTCATGTTAGCGGAGACTAACATTTCCGATTTTGCTTCTTCTATGATTTACTCTCTCTCTCTCTCTCTCATGTGTCTGTTTTACATGAAGTATAACGGTATGATTGCAACCGCAATATCTTCTTTTTCACCATGTTTTTTGATGTCTTGATGAAATTACATGCTTCTTTTTAGCTGATTAGATAGGTTTTTTGGCATTCTTTTGATTTTTCTCTTACTACACCTGTTGAGTTGTGTTTTGTGCAATTTGTCTCAATACGAAGTGGCATTCCTGTTCTAAGTGCTCACAGTTTTTCTCCCATCATATCAGATTTTGGCTACTATTTGTATTGTTTTGTTTTGTTTCTACCCTTTCTCTGTCTGCTTCCTTTCCCTGTTCCATCTTTTGTATCTGATCTGACGTCATTTATAGGATTTAATATATGATTTTTATTTATTTTGGAATAGATAACTATGTGTAATCGGAGTAGGTGAAAAAAAGGTCCATTGTATACATGTTGATGCATGATCTTTCAAAAATCACTCTGCACATTCCTGCTGAGTAGAAGAGATTAGAAAATCTCAGTTTGCTTCGATGTATATTAGAGTATTAGACTGAGTTGAATGAGAAGAAATGGCGAATTAAAGCAGATGTATTTCATCTTGGAGTGTCAAATGAATTGTGATTTATTTAGTGGTACTAAACACTATGATTTCCCCTTTCAGTTTTATTCTGTCGTGCTAGGAAGTGAGGCAGTTGCATCGAAGCATTGTAGCTTTCCTATGTTTAATATTAATATATGTTAGTTTTCTTGTGTTAGTCCAATGTCTGTGGAATGATCTTATTCCCATATTAAAATCTGACTCTTCTTTGAGTTTGTGACTCATTGATATAGTGATAATTCCATAATGTGAAGCAAGCGCTCAAATATGTATTATGTTTATTAATTTTATTGATAAGTTCTGATTTCTGAAACATGTTCATTATAAGTTAATTTCTCTTTAAGAAAGAATATATATATATATATATTTTATTATTATTTTTATTTTATTTTTTTCAATTTCTATCTGTATTGAAAGTTTTGCTTTTACTTTGTTGCTTGGGTTGATTTATGAATGTTTTTGCACTTTCAAATTCAAACTTGCCTGATTTTGCAATGTGGAATATGCTACAGAGTTCAACAGAGATGGATTTTTTCTCTGAATATGGTGATGCCAACCGGTACAAAATTCAAGAAGTCATTGGGAAGGGAAGTTATGGCGTTGTTTGTTCAGCCATTGACACTCATACCGGTGAAAAAGTGGCAATTAAGAAGATTCATGATATCTTCGAGCATATATCCGATGCTGCACGTATTCTTCGTGAGATAAAGCTGCTTAGACTTCTACGACATCCTGATATTGTTGAAATAAAACACATTATGCTTCCTCCTTCTAGGAAGGACTTCAAAGATATTTATGTTGTTTTTGAGCTCATGGAATCTGATCTTCATCAAGTCATTAAAGCCAATGATGACTTAACAAAAGAGCACTATCAGTTTTTTCTTTATCAATTACTTCGTGCACTGAAGTATATTCACACTGGTAATCATCAATATGTTTTTGTTACTTGTACATATACACAGAGTGACATGCACATTGTGTGGCTTGTGCCTACAACATGTGCCTTTTACTTTCATAAGTCGTATGTGAAGCTAAATAATTTCTTGGCATTCCTCTCAATGAAGATGTCAGGATTGTGCACATTATGTTCTCTATTTGTTGCTTTTGATTCCATTTTTTCCAGTTTGCCCGTCAATTAAATTGTGTGCATTTTTTTTCAGAATGTGAGACCGTTCTTGGGCCCTATTTTTACTGTGTTCTCTATTTCTTAATACAAGTGTGCTTACATTGATGTCAATATTATTCATCTAATTCTCAGCTTATACAATGCAGCAAATGTCTATCATCGAGATTTGAAGCCAAAGAATATACTAGCAAATGCAAACTGTAAACTTAAAATTTGTGATTTTGGATTAGCTAGAGTTGCCTTCAGTGACACACCAACAACTATATTTTGGACGGTATACTATCTATTTCAACTTTCTTTTTTGTTTGTTATTGTTTATAGTATTTAAAATTTCTCCTAGCATTTGGAAAGGTTGGGACTGATATTTCTTGCTTGTTTAATGCATGCATCTCTAGGATTATGTTGCTACGAGGTGGTATAGAGCTCCGGAGCTATGTGGATCATTTTACTCAAAGGTATGTCTATTCCAGATTTCCTTGAACATTGTAAGAGGGAAGACAACATACAATTGTTCAGATTTCATAAATGTGAATATACATAGTTTTGACTCTTGACCTACCATGCGATTGCTCAAATTTCATATCAGGTCATATACACTCATTTTTATATTCTTTCTATCAGTCAACTAAACCATATGAGACTGAAGACCAATCTGTTATTAATCTATTAGTTGTATATGTTTCTATTATTTATTGTATGTCACTGAACTAACAAACTCCAGTACTGACTGCAATACCTTTGTCTTTGTTAAGAAAATATGTGATGATACATTGATACCTTTGTGGTTGACTGGTTGGTAATAAATTATCCACTGCATGTGAAGTTTTATTTTGAATGTCTGTCTATATGTATGTATGTACTCGTAGTTTTTCTGCATCTGCACTCTTAAATTTTGTTAAGAATCAAGATTATCAATAATTAGTAACAACACATGGTAGAGACATTTATCTTTTTGTTTTTCATCACATTCCACTTGGTGTCTTTAGTTCATTATAATGTCACGTGGTTGTTTAGATTGAACTTACTCATTCAGCACTGTAAATAGAGGGCTTTATTTCTGGTTGAGTTTCTTGGGGAAATGGTTATTGTGATAAAATGTGTATTTATGCATGTATTGGCGGTAGTCAACTTTTTATTCTATTTGGCTGCAAAGTGACTCATCATAATGGTACCAGTTTTCATATTCACATTTTGTAGGTCTAACTTTTCATATATCTTGATACAGTATACACCAGCAATTGATATATGGAGTATAGGTTGCATCTTTGCTGAAGTATTAACAGGAAAGCCACTTTTTCCTGGAAAAAATGTCGTCCATCAGTTGGATCTGATGACAGATTTGCTTGGAACTCCCTCACTGGATACTATATCACGCGTAGGTTTTTTCTGTGATTGTGGAAAAACCTTTCCTGTTGCTTAGCTTAATTCTGAATCAAATGTTGCCAATACCAGTTTGTGACAATATTTTATGTTCCATGCAGGTACGTAATGAGAAGGCAAGGAGATACCTAACTAGCATGAGGAAAAAGCAGCCTGTACCATTTTGTCAAAAGTTTCCCAACGCAGATCCTTTAGCACTAAGGTTACTGGAAAGGTTGCTGGCCTTTGATCCAAAAGATCGACCTACTGCTGAAGAGGTTTGTTATATTATTGTACTCTATTGCTTACATATGTGAGTTTAAACGTATTTTTGTTCAATAGTTGACTACTACTTGAGCATATGTTTTTCCTTTGCACAAGGTATAATAAATCATAACAGTGTATAGAAATTTATAGTATGGTTTCTTGAAATTTGTGCTTAAGATTTTTTAAATGTTTTGGGTCTTTAGGCATTGGCTGATCCTTATTTCAAGGGACTGGCAAAAGTTGAGAGGGAACCATCTTGCCAGCCTATCACAAAGATGGAATTTGAATTTGAAAGACGAAGAGTCACAAAGGAAGAAATCCGAGAACTGATTTTCCGTGAGATTCTAGAGTATCATCCTCAACTATTGAAAGACTACATGAATGGAACAGAGAGAACAAATTTTCTTTATCCAAGGTTTTTAAATGCATTTCAACTATTTATGCCCCATGTTATCCTTTTGCCCTCTTGATAATTTTCAATTCAGAATTTCAACTTTATCTTTGACTTTTTCTTGTGTGCAATTTTAACAGTGCTGTTGATCAATTCCGAAAGCAGTTTGCTCATCTAGAGGAAAATGGTAAAAATGGTCCTGTTATGCCACTTGATAGAAAGCATGTTTCTCTTCCAAGGTAATTGTGATTCGTAAATGCAGTTTCTCATCGGATTTCATTTGGCATTTAATACTTTGCAACTGTGCCTTTATTATTGATAAACAGTTATTCTTCATTCAATTATGCTTATAAATAGTAATCATAGGATTGAATGTTCTATAACAAAAATCATTAATATGATTCTGGTTACAATTTAGCAAATACTACATGCAAGTCATGGTGGATTAAAATGTCACTGTTCCTCTTTCTAATATTAAATTACATCTAATGTCAACAACTGTGGTGTGGATGAGTACTTGTAGTATAATTAGTAAAAGCTACATATTCAAGCCTGCTAATATTTATTTATGAAGTCCCCTTATATAGTATGGTAACCTGTAGCTATCAAGCACTTTTCATTGAAGTAACTTCCCAACCATACTATTTAGCTGCCCTCTCAATGTCTTAGCATAGTGTGCAAGGGAATCACAAGTTGGTAGACCAAAATCAACCACACCAACTTGCTGCATTTGCTTCGTTGCTACTTATGATTTGTGTTCATGCATAAAGAGCATTATTATATTTTATCATATTCTAATATTTTTCACTTGTTCACAGGTCAACAATTGTACATTCAAATACAGTACACCCAAAGGAGCAAACAAACATTGCTTCAAGCAAGAACCGGCTAACAGCCGAGGAATACAATAAGAACTCCAGAGATACAGAAATTCCAGTGCCAAGATCGATACATGGATCGCAAAGAATTCCACTAGGTACATGGCTGTTAGCATAGTAGTCTGTTTAAGTTTTTGTGCATGATCAATAACTAATACTCATTTTTTTCCCAGCAAAACCTGGTAAAGTTGTTGGTCCTGTTGTTCCATATGAGTATGGAAATGTTATCAAGGATTCTTATGATCCAAGGACATTTATCAGAGGCTCTGTGCTTCCTACTCAAACTGTTCCCCCAGCATATTATTATCAAAGATCCAGCACTGGAAATCAAGAAAGGCCAACAACAGAAGCCGATAAGGGTGTGCCTTTGCAAACAAAACATGCACAACAATGTGGAGTTAATGCCAAAATAGCACCAGATATAGCCATTAATATTGACACAAATCCCTTTTTTATGACAAGGGCAGGAGTTAACAAGTTAGAACAAGATGATCAAATAGCCATAGAAACAAACTTGCTGCAGTCAAAGGGTCAATATGGTGGAGCAACTGCTCATAGAAAGGTTGGTCCTATTCAGTATGGTATGACAAGGATGTTCTAGGAAATGGTTATCTTGTGAATATTTTGACCAGGGGAAGCAATTTCTGTAGAGAAAAAAAGGCTCTTTGTTGTTGGGATGGAGCTGTAATATTTGGTGAGTGATGTGGGTTTGTATAAAATGAGGGGAGGGTGAGGGCCATTGAAGCAGTGCTTCCCTAGAAAAGTGCCAACTTTCTCTGGTCTTAAAAAAGGTATGAACTTTGATTACAACTATTAAGAAACTGTTAACAATTATGAAATTGAGTCTTATATTGTAAGTCAAATCCATAACCTTTTTTAGGTGTTTGCAGTGAAGACACCACCTTGAAATCAATCTCTTGGATGTTTGTACTTTTAATTGGGTTAATGAAAGTTTACAAAGCAAGGATCACATCTTACAGCTCAACAAAGTCAGGCTTTAATGACTTTCAAAAGAACTGTTTTAGAGGGTCCTGGAAATTAGTGTTATAAGGACATTGATTAAGAAATCCAAATGAATTTTTTTGTTATTAAAAGTTGCGGTAAGTGTGCATTTAATGGTATCCTTAGGGCCTTGGTTAATATTTGTCCTATTTAAATTATACTGAAGAAGATAGAAATTGTTTTAAGCAAAGCGAGGAAAGTGGTGCAAATTAAGTTGCCTTACAGTAATTTAATTAAGTATTAATTTCTTAATGGTGAGCTATGGCAATTATCAGAAAGATGATGAAAGTATTTATTTGATACAAACTTATTATATGAAAGTTTATTGATGAAATTAAACATTCAGCTTACTAAAATAAGTTTTTAAAAAATTGTATGAAGGCCATAAGCCATTATATTAGAGTTAGAAATTCCATCCAAACTTTTTTAAACGACTTTTTAATGAATATATAATGATTTAATTATGCTTTCTTGTAAATGTAACATATTTTGTAATAAATTTTTATAAAATTTAATTATTAAAATATCAAGAAATTAGAATTTAGTTTTTACTCTTAACTCCTTTTTATTAAATGCTTGGTTGATAGAGTTAATTCAATTTATAAATAAGTTTTTAAATATATTTTAAATATTTATAAAAAAGGTTTATCTTCTTCGTATCTTAATTTTTGCGAGCTCTTCTCATTTTGCCAAAAAAAGTCACCATCTATGCATTCTCTGCCTTACACCCTCACACGGCAGCACACTTTCTTACTCCACTCTTTACCTTCCACCCTCGTATGACAGTACACTTTCTTGCTTCACTCTTTACTGATCCTTCGTGACTACACCATCTCTTCCGATCACCGTACCTTCTTGAAACACCTCTCCCACACTGACTTCTTCGAATGCAAGGGCTTCTTCGATGTGTTTTGTTGGGATTAATTTGTGTGTGCTGTCTTTTATGATATTATCTTTCTCTTAGGTAAAGTTTGGTTCGGAGACAAGAACACACATATAATGAAGGACAAAAACACTAATATTTATATTTCTGTATTATGTTTGGAAGCAAATATATAATATTGTATATTAAGTCTTGTATTATGTTTAGTTGTAAGAAATAAGACATATAAAATAAAAGTTAAGGATAATATATATAATTTTGTATAATTATCATGAGTATTTTGGTCTTCAAAAGTATAGTCTCCTTGTCCTAAGAGCTAAGCTACTAATATCCTTTCTTTCAAAAGGTACACTAGTATCTTTCGAATTTGTATTCTTGGTGTCTTTTCGTGTTCTTATCTTTACAGCAAAACATTAGTTAAACATAATATACGTGTCTCTGTATCTTTGTCTCAGTGTTTGAACTAAACAATGTTTTAGAAAAATAAAATCTTATTATTCTTAAACACATTTTATATACAATGAAATTTGTTATTGCATTTTAAATTATAGTTACTTGTACTCAAACTAGTTTTATCTCTTTTTTTTTAATCAATGTTGCTATTATTTATTTATTTAAATTAATTATGAATATTTCTCTTATAATTTTAAATATATTCTTTTTGATAAAATTAAAAAATTACTCATACACATTATATTAAATACTTTTAATTTCTGAAAAAATCTAATTTTTACTTTGACAAGGGACATAGTTGAATGATATTTTGAATTTTTTTTTTGGCTCAAATGAATTTTTTTAATGATTGGTTAAACAATTCAAATCTTTTAATATAAAAAAGTACGGAAGAAAAAAAGTTCGACGCGCGAAGGTGGAATTATCCTTTCTCCCTTTCCCGGAAAATCCTCCAAAATTTTCCCGGATAATGCTCCTTCTCATGACTTCGTCACCGATTTTCTCGCAACCTTTTCCACTCATCACTTCCTCACTCTCCACAGTTCCTCTAACGCCACTCATTAATCATTCACCGTTTCTCTGGTGAGAAAACCAAATCATATCATTTTTTTCTCAGCAACCACACATCACAATCGCTCGCTCCATCTCCTAGCAGCAATGGCGGTCACCAACAACGGCGTCGCATCCCCGTCCAAGATCGAGACACTGGAGCGCGAGAGAGACGAATTAGCGACCGAGAACGCGTCGAAGAAGGAGGAGATCAAGAAGCTGAGGAAGGAGATCGAGGAACTGATGCGCGACGGCGACGCGGCGGAGGTGATCGCGGCGCGTGCGGTTGATCTTGAATCAGAGGTGGCGCGTCTCCAGCACGACGCGGTGTCGGAGATGAGCGCGGCGGAGGAAGCGAGGTCGGAGGCGTCAGAACTAAAAAAAATCGCGGATGAGAGAGAAACTAGGATTGAGATTCTAGAGAGAGATGTGAAGGGTTTGAAGCAGATGAACACAGAGAGCGAAATGAAGGTGAGGGAATTGGAGCGAAAACTTGGTGTTGTGGAAGTGAGAGAGAGTGAAGAGAGAAGCAAAAGGATTAGGGTTCAGGAAGAGATGAAGGAGAAGGTTAATGAGAGAGAGAGGGAAATTGAAATGTTGAAACAGATGATTGTGGAATTGGAGAGTGTGGTAATGAGGAAGAAGATTGAGTTGGAGAAGTGGGTGATGGAGAAAATGGAATTGGAGGAGAAGGTTAAGGTTATGGAATCGAGGGTTTTTGGGTTAAGGAAAGAAGAAGAAGAAGAAGAAGAAGCTGTGAATAGTGTGAATGCTGGTGAAGTGATTAAGGGTTTGGAGTTTATTTGGCCTTCTGTGGCTGCTGGGTCTGCAGCCATTGCTGCTGTCATGTATTTATGTTATGGAAACAAAAGGTGACATTGCTTCAATGGGAAGGTGAAAAGTCTTGAAGATTTTGATTTTAACATGATTTCTGTGTCAACTATGCTTCCAATTTTGTTTGTCATCGAGTTTATAATGCTTTTTTTGGCTTTTGCTTTTAGGAGCATGGATTAACCTTTTTATTTCATTACACACTTGTTTTGCTTTAAGTTGCATGAGATGAGAGTTCATTTATGTAGGTCTTATTTGGAGAGTTCAGTTATGTAGGTCTTATTTGGATTCTTTATTTTCAAGAAATTTAAAATAAAAATTTAAAACATGTTTTTTGTATAAATGTGTCTAATGTTTTTGAAGTGTCTATTGCTATTTTTTAAAAAAATATTTACTGTCATTTTTATTTAAAATTTAATCTTAACAGACTGATCGATAGTAAAATTACATCATGAATTTTACATGTGAATTTTAATCGTGCTAAAATACGTATTTCATTTCATATATCTATGTCACTTGTTTATTTCAAACAAAAATAAGGAAAAACTTTTAAGTTATCAAAGAAATAAATAATATAAAACTACGAAAGTTTATCTTTTGATCTAAGCTAATCATGGCATGAGGACATATATTAAATATTTAAGGGTTCAAATCCTTTTCAGCAGGACAACCTCTGCAGGAAAGATCTCAATCGTTAAATTTACAAATTTACATCTAATGATTCTAAAATATTATAATATTTTATCATAACAGCCCCAGTTATACAGATCCAAAATTAAACTTGGCTTTAACTCTGAACTAAGCTTCCAATTTTGTTGGTCATGAAATTACAATGCTTTTCTGGCTTTTGCTTTTAGGGGAATATTATCATTTTTTTGTTCATGTCGAAATTGACATTATACAATTGTTTTGTTTTTATGGTTGCTTGAGAGAGTTGAACCATTTATGTCTTGTTTGGTTTCTCCAATTTTTATTTTTTTCAAAGTGCAAAAGAGTTTTAAAAAATGCAAAACATAATAGGGATAAGCACTTACAAAGACAACATAGTTAGGGAGTGGCCAAGAACTTCAAATTCATTTTCATTTCTAGAATAAAAACCTTTCATGCAACTCATACACTTCATAATATAAAATATAAGGGCTACATATTGTCACATATATTCAATCCAAGTTTTCTTTTCTCCCTTCATGATATCATCATTTGCATGGTTTACTCAGTGAACAAATTATGCTGCAACATGGTTATTGCAACCTCTATTCAGATTCCAGTAGGTTATCCTTGCGGCATTCATATGGAAGACCATGAGCATAACGTCTTAAATCACGGCAATAATCATAAACTACCCATTTTGAATGAACCTTTCTCATTTTTTGCCTACTTTCTTCATCAAGACCTTTATTTTTGCCACCATTGAAACCCTTGCAACTTCTACCCCTATTTGCAACACAAGCATAAGCATTGAAGTTTTTGAAGCCTGCCACAAATGGAGCATTTGACAAATCAAGCTTCACTGCCCCCCATCTTGTTGCCCAAGAATCTCCATTCCAAAGAGTAGTGTAAAGCCTCATGGGTTGTTTTGTAGGGAATGGGACACCAAGGGCTTGCCGGTTTTTCATAACTCTAATGGGAATGTTATCCACCAAGATTCTGCAAACACAACAAACATATAGATATAAATATAAGATCTAATTCACATTTTTTAAAGGAAAATGTTTATTGTACATTCAAAGCGAGACATTTTTTAATGCCTCTTTTAATTTTAAAGAATATTTTTAAAATTTGTGTATACTAAAAAGATAAATAAATAAATAATATATAAAATTATATACAGTATCACGTATGGTATTAATTTTTAAATGATAAAATAAGATAACTCTTTTAGAATGAATAATTATATTTTTCTCTCTCAAGGTTAGTGTTAATTATACATGGATGCTTTTATTGAAGATATATGCATGATTTTCTTTCTTCTTTATTTTTTAATACAGGAACCACTTATATAAAATACTTTTAAAAGCAATAAAAAATTAATATATAAGAAAAGTAAATGTAATTTTTCAATAAAAAATTGTTAGTATAATTAACACTAATTCAAGAGAAACTAATGTAATTATCCCTCTTTGTAGGTGCATATATATAATAACTATACATATTTTGTTACTTACATTATGCGTTCAGGGTTCCAATCAATTGAATAAGTGTGGAAGTCCTCTGTTGGATCAAACCAAAGATAGAACTGCATCTCACGACCTCCAACACCATCGGCATATACATTAGTTGAGAGCAGATAAGGATCACCAGACAAGTTGCCCAAAAACTCAATATCAATCTCATCATGGTTTGATCCTTGAGAGCTTAGCTGCACATGAAATACGTATCAATATCTTTGCCATACATAAATAATTATAATTAATTTCAGTCAAAAAATATTTGACTATATTTAATTATATAGCTATCTTGTAGCAAACATCGAATTAATAATACATACACATATAAGTTCAATTAAAATATATTGATAATGTAATTTTTTCATATAAGGTATCTGAAAGGTTATGAGTTTGGGACAAACATACGTAAAAGGCTGTGACAGTTCCCGCAGAGTTCCCTGGAACAAGCTTGATTTGCATGTCAAAACGTCCAAACAAAAACTCATTCTTTGATACAATGCCTGAGCCAGAATATTCGTCCATTGTGAGGGTCATGCTTTTGCCTTCATCTTTTATGTCAACCCTTATATCTCCAAATAAATTGTCAAAATCTTCGTAGAAATTCCCACCCAATGCAAATGTGTCTAAGGCTAAGAAGATACAAAGCACAAGGAAAAGGGAACTACGAGATGAAGCCATTTTCAATTTTGTGAATGCACTTATGAGAACACTAATACACTGTGTATTTAAACCAAAGTTTGACAATTAACAAGCTAGATTGCGACAATTTCGGTAGGGTTGTTTCATGTCTAATATAGCTGTCAAACACAGATTGTGATGACTGCCCTTTGAGCCCAATAATATTATTGTCGCAATTGCAGTTGCCAACTGCAATTCAAAACATTGTTCATAGGATGTTTTTTAAAGAGAGGAAAGAGAGAGATATGAGAATGGTTTGTTTTGATGCCAATGATTTTTTTAGGTCTTTGTATTGTTGTCTCTTCAAATTTGACGTTGGACAACAAGTCAAATCTCAAAATGGGTAATACTTAAGATAGAAGTGCTAAACATGGAGTGATATGATATGTAACAAAATCTTGCTTTTGCAAGCATAGATTGTGCCTTTTCTTGTTTTGAGATACATTTTTAGAGAAAGTTAATTTTTTAGGATTAGATAATTAAGTTTGGTTGATTATAAATTTTTACATAAAAGATTTGAGCCCTTAATTTTATGAATGGAAGAAGTATGTATCTAGGGAGTTGCTTTTTCACTTCTTTTCTTTTTAATTTTCACATTCCATAAAAAATTTATAATTTTTTAAAATATCTTTCACGATCATAAAAATAAGTATTTTTAATTTTACTGCAAAATGTATTTATGGAAATAGTTAATAATTATAAAAATTAATTTATGGAAATATGAAAACCTAATTTTAGAAACTAATAAATAAAAAATCTCTTAATTCTAGAAACTTATTTTTAAAAATATGAATTCTTACTTCCAAAAACTTCCCTTTGTTCTGTTTCTAAAAATAAAATATAGTATTTATTTTTAAAAACAGAACACTATTTTTAAAAAGAAAATTAAATATGTTCTTATTTCTAGAAATATAGAGTTTTTAATTTCAGAAACTTATTTTAAGAAATAAATAATAATTTTGAAAATTAATTTCTTGAAACGTAAAAATATAAATTTTAAATATTTAATTTTAGAAGGTTACAATCTTAATTCTAGAAAGTTATATTTGAAACAAATTAATTTTAAAGATCAATTTTTAAAAGTGTGAAAGCCTAATCTCATAAAATTTTCAAAATGGAGAATTCTAATTTTATAATCTTATTTAAAAAAGTGTCATAGTTAGCAAGTCTGACGAAGGTTGACGAAAAAATCTTTTTTAACTGTAAATTAATTTTTCTATAATATAATAATGATGTTTGTAATAAAACAATAACTAATTTTAGAACATTAAAGAGAAAAAATATAAATTAAAAAAAGTGAAAATAAAAAAATGTTATTCTAAAACTTGAAATAAAATAGAAAATTTTATAAATTATTAAATTTCAGAAAATATTTTTTATTTAATAATTTAACTTTTTTGTTAAGGATATTTTATAAAAAAATTATTAAAAAAATGATGGTGCAAAAAAAAAAGTGAAAAAACAACGTCATGTATTTATATAAAAACACCTTTTTTCATTTTATAATTCTATATTAAATCAAAAAATTATTCTTTGTTGACTGTTTAATTAAATGAAGTTTTTAATTTCTTTATTTTTAATAAATTTTTAAAATTTTTCAAAATAAAACATTTTAGTACTTAAATTTTATGTTTTGATTATTTTATTATTGACAAAATAGTACTATATTATTAAAATTAAATATACATTCTTTGATTTTTTAAATTATTCATTATATTTTTCACATTTTGTACTGAATAGTTACATAGTTACAGGTCATATTTTATTTTTATATAATTTTTGTTGAAAAGGCTAAAAATATTTAATAGTTAGCTAGCTATATAATACTCTCTCTGGTCCTTTTTATAAGAAATAAAATGAAACATTTTCTTGATCTTTATTATAAAAAATAAATAATAGATTCAAGATGCATTAATTGCTAAATTTCTTTTATATTTTTCTTTTTTTAGTATTATTAAATATACAAATTATTAACTATACCATTTAATATTATGAATATTTTTGGAATAACATTTATATTTATGAAAAACTTAACAGAATTAATTGTTTTTCTTAGTTCTGATGATTTAGTTTTTTATTTTTTATAAAAAGGACATGAGGAAGTAACATTAAAGTAAGAAAATTATAAAAGTTGTCCTTCTTTCTTCTCAAGAACAAGAGAGTATAAAGGACAATTATGTCACAATCATATATGCGAAGAAATAAAATAATTATACATAAATATATTTTAAAAAATAAAATTATATTTTTAATTTTTTAAGTATTAATTTAATTTCTCCTTAATAAAGTTTCGATCTACCTCTGTGTATTTTATTCTATCATGTTGAATTGGATTATAAGCGATGCTTATAGTAGATTTGCTGTTACAAAACAGTCTCATAGGAGTTTTATATTATATCTTGAGATCATTTAGTATGTTTCTCATCCATAACAGTTCAAGTGTATCTCTTATTCAGTCTTTGCACTTGACTTTGCTGCTACATCTTGCTTTTTGCTCTGTCACTAAGTTTTTTCTTAGGAATATACAATATCTTGAAGTGGATCTTCTATCAACAACAGATCTAGTATAGTCTACATCTGTGTATACTTCATGTAATAACTTACATTCTTTCTTAAATAGTAATCCCCTTCTCGAGTTACCTTTCAAATATTGAATAATTCTATTTATAGCTTGTAGGTGTCTCTCTCTCGGATCATGCATCAATTGACTAACTATACTAACAGCATAGGCTATGTTAGGTTGAGTGTGACATAAATAAATGAGTTTTCCAATAAATTTATGATATTGGGTTTTATCAACTACTGAACTCTCTTCTTCGCTTCCAATTTGGCGGTTCTACTTAATGAGAGTTCTAACAATTTTGCACCTCAACTTGCTTGTTTCTTTTAGGAGATCAAGGACATATTTCCTTTAAGATATGAAGATACCTAGTTTTGAATAAGCAACTTCAATCCCTATGAAGTATTTTAGTCTTATTAGATCTTTTAACTTGCTAATTTTTCTTTTAACACCTATTTCTCACTATCATCATACCTATAATAACCATATCATCTACATAGACCAAAAGTAGTGTCAGTTTACCATCGTGTAAATGTTTTATGAAGAGGGTATGATCACTTTGGCTTTGCATATACCCTATGAAAACCATGGCTTGAGAAAATCTTCCAAACCAGGCATGAGGAGATTGCTTGAGCCCATACAATGCCTTCCTTAATCTGCACACATTGTCTCATTTGAAATCATATCTAGGTGGTATCTCCATGTACACTTCTTCTTTCAATTCTTCATATAAAAAGGCATTCACATCAAATTGATTTAACTCCCATCCAAAATGGGCTATCAAAAAAAGGATAACTTTGACAATATTCATCCTTGCCACTAGAGCGAAAGTCTCCTGATAATCAACCCCATATGTTTGAGTATATACTTTAGTAACAAGTCTTTCCTTGTATTGTTTAATGGAGCCATCAAATCTATATTTCACAGTATAGACCCATCTGCATCCTATTGCCTTTTTATTTTTGGGCCTTTCAATAATCTACCAAGTCTCATTTTTCTCTAGAGCATGCATCTCTTCATTCATGGCTTGAACTCATTTCTTATTTTTTTAACGTTTGATGTACTGATGTGAGGATCTGGATAGAGTCAATAATTGAAAGAAAACTCAAGTATTGCATAGAAAGGTGTTTAGTATAGACAAAGTGGGAAATAGGGTAGCTGACACAAGACTTTTTTTTTCTTTTCTCAAGGCAATAGGTAAATCATTAGAATTACCTATACTTTCCTTTGGTTAGGACGATTGGACTTGCTATAGGACCAAGTCAAGTTTCCTTCATCTTTGGTAAACAAGTATTCGAGCAAATATTGGTTTCTCAACAGGAGCAGGTACTGATATCTTGACAGTGTTGTCTAGTGTAGGTGTCAAATTCTGCATAGGTAAAGAGATAACAGAATGACCATTTGAAAACTCAAGACACTCAGACTCTAACTCAACTTACAAAATATTCTCCCATTAAAGTTGAGGACTAGAGTAGAAAAGTATTGCTTAATGAAAAGTAACATTTATAGAGGTATAAACACGATGACTAGAAGAATGATAACACTTATAATTATTATATCAATATATTATGTTATAATTATTTTTATTTATAATAAATAAAAATTTCTTAAATATGAATTATATTTTATTCAAAACTAAAAATTTATAAAAAAAATAATAGAAAAATAAAATAAAAAATTTAATATACAATAAATATATATATATATATATATATATATATTAATTTGCCACGTGTTTCTTTTTAGTGGTATAAATTTTGAGTACGATACTCATAAAAAAATTTTAGAGTACCATAGCACACATCTATCAATAAATAGATAAAACGATGTAATTGTTCAGTTATTTAATTACTACTTAATGAGAATTAATGTTCTTGGTGCAACCATTTAACCACATAACATAAGTTAGGGGTTCCTTGGAATGTGCCAAAAGATATTTATTAAATTAATTATTTATTAACTATAATTATTATTATTTAATTGATTTATATATTTATCAAATTAAAATATTTTATTAATAAATATATATATATATATATATGCTTAAATTATAAATGATATTTGATTTAAATATATAAATTTTTAATATTTTTAAAATTTATAATTATTTTATTTAGTAACTTATTTTTTATTTTTTTAGACTACTTTACCAAATTTTTTTATTTTTGATTAAAATATGCTTTTAATTCATTCATATAAAGATTAAAACAATTTTTTAAAATATAAAAACTATATTATAGACGAGTCGCAACTAAATGTATAATTTAATCACTTACCTTACCGGTAACAAAATTTATTGATGTGTTTAACAAACTAAACCTATAAATTTGTTGAAAGTTTAGTAAGAATTAATAGAAAATTAAAAGTTAGAAGTTAAAAATTAATTAAAGAATTTTATTATCTTCGATCTTTAGGATTAAGTTGAAGCATCCATGAATAA